ATTAATCCTGAATGCCTACCCAGGATCCAAGCCAGAGGTGAGAGTCAAATCTCTCTCTAAGTCGAAAACTACAGCAAAGATTACCTCTGCAAAACAGCTGTCTGAAACACAAACCTATTTCTATTGCTGTTACAGCTGATGAAAATATGTTTACAATTAATAGCCAAGAAATGCTCCAGGGGACTTGCATCAAGAATTTTATCAAGATACGGTGTATATAATATCAGATCTTCTCTCTCATCCCACCACTTAACCTTAAACTTTGATAGTGAGACATCTGACTTGTCATCTTTCACATTACACCTTTTATCCTAGAGCCTGTTGATTCCAGAGATTCACTCTGATTCATCAAATTATGATATGGATGGATGAAAATATACAACTATGCTATCAAAATATACTCCATACTTTTCCAAACCCTAAGAACAGGTCATTCCTGGATCAGACAGATCACAGCATTGACCTTTTCTGTGCTACTGTCAGATGGTGGGGAGGGAAGAGGAGAGACAAACGAGACCATCTGAACAGATTTGTCTCTCAACTTACATAGTACAGAGGAAGGAGTGGAGTGGGAGAGCTCAGACTCAAGCGATTGACTCTCTGAGTTTGCATTTCTCATGGACTTGCCCGCTGAATTGATGGAAAGAAACACAACATATGAACAAACAAAGATGAAGAGGTAGAGTGTGATCAGACTCCTCAGCAGGCACTGGCAGCAGGAGCGGCCGCTGGGGCACGGCAAGGGTGGTGACCAGTGGGATGAAGAAGCAATGGAAGAGGAGGAGTGGTGGCTGGAACTCAACCTCTCCATGTCCCCCTCCTTTGTGAGAGCTGTGTGAGGGTCAAGTACATGTGAAGGAAGAAAAAAACAACAAGAAGGCCAAAAGAAAAATAACGATAATTTAATTACAAGCAACAAGAACTTAAGAAAATCTTTGAGCACACAAACAATGTTAATGATGTACTGTCAGGGGGCAGTGTGGGTGCCAAAGAACAGCTGTAAAGGTCAGAGGCACAAGTGACTCTGTTCAGATGCCAGGGCAGATTTACCCCTGTATCCAGTGTGAGATACAGAGGGCTTTGAAAGAGTTCTTAGAAAATTGCTCTTAGGAATTTGAAGGGGGTTTTGGGGAACATATGTCCCAAAAGAAATAGTTTAAATTGCTGTTTTTCTACTGCTAAATAAAATAAACCCAACAGCTATAAAATATAATACAAATATAAGAAAACAAATGAATGGTTAATATTTCAAAGGAATGTACCTTACAGATGTGTTAAGTAGCATAGATTAGCCACAATTTACCTACGAATCAGCAATTTTCCCATTGGGAATCATCATTTGTTACTAATGATTTCATTAATTCATTTCCAGGGGCAAAAAGGAACCATGAGAAATCCAGACCTCCTGCCCATGCCAAAGTTCATGTCTCACCTTTCTGGGAGTCTCTGGGCATTGCTGGGCAAATATAATGGTGGTATTCTACAGCATTGACTAAAAAAACATATCAGTCTCATACCACAGAGATGCTGCTCCAGTCTCATTACTACAGGATGGAGAAATCCCATAAGTAATCCCAGTAAAAGGCATTGCCTACAGTCCAGTTCTCAGTATGTTCTTTCTGCCCACTCCTGTCATATTTAGGAGGGATCACTCTCATGCTGATAAGCCTGTGATCAAAGGATAATGTCAGAAATTCATGTTAGCAGAGAACCTGAACTGCAGCTTCAAGTCATTTCAGACTCAGACTCTAGGATAGCTTATTCCTTCAATGATTAAAGCTCACTGTTGTTTGCCAAGCACTGTTTCCAGTAAAGGAAATAGGTTCCAGTCCTAGAAGGTGTAAATGTATAGATAAGCAAAGTGAAGTTACAGACACTAAGGTTTTCAGTAAATAAAACCCAAAAAGTAAGCCTGATTTTATGTCTTCAAGTTAAATACCTTCACTTCAACAGTGAAAATAGGGTGAGATCCCGACAGGAGAGGAGAATACACTCTGCATTCCCTCACAGACAGGAGTGAAGGACCTGTCCCTAAAGACACATTTGTGATAGCTGATGTAGGACAGTTTTAATTGCTCCTTTCTTAATGAATCACAACATTCATAATCCTTCACATAGACACGTGCACACACCCACAGGGCACACAGAACACAACTGTCCCACACAGACTCACATGACCCACACTATAAAGAGTCAAATCAATGGAAAAAAAGGAAAGCACTTGCTGCAGAGCTGAATGTTCTCAGTATGTGTGGGCTGGTGGTCTGTGCCAAGGAAGGAACCTTGTACCTCTTGTGCAGTCTGTGCACAATGTTTGGCTGACAGGGGGAGGAACAGAGTGCATAGACCTCATGCCCCTGCAGAGCCATTCCCTGGAAGGTGTGGATCATACTGCAATGCTATAAACCATATGCTGAAACACTTTTCAGTTACAGAGTGGCATCTCCATTCTCCTTCTCAGGAAGGAGAGAGCCTCTTCCCATGCTGTACTTCACACTGTGAAGAAAAGCAAAAACATCTTTAATGTTCTTTATTATATAAGGTGGAAAACATTCCTTTTCTAGGTCTCAAACGTCTTGAGCATACACATAAGGACCCGGACAGTCAGTAATCTGGGAGAATTCTCTCTCCCACCTCTGAAATCCAGTCACTCCATGAGTGTTTTACCTCCAGTGGCTGTTCCTGACAAGAGAACAGCTTTCTCACTCTTCTCCTAGAAAACCTACATGCAGAAGTCAAGTTTGGTGTAGGGGGGGAAATAACCTTTCCTAAGTGCTTGGCTAAAGCATGAAGCTTGAGCTTATAATAGCTGTCAGGGTTGCAGGACTGCCAATTCCCTGAATCATTCCACAAATTGGACCCTGGGGGTACTGTTAGCTTTAATTTATAATAAAACAATCCGAACAGCAGCCTCCAGTGGGAAGATGGGAAGTGTGAGAGGAATACTAAAATGTGAACAACAAGCAAGCTCCCAGGCAATTAATAACAGGGAGATTACATTTGTCTCTCAAATAAACAGAAAATGAAATCCCTGCAGACTGTAATAAAATGTGCACCTGGTATCTGGTGGGGAGGGCAGTGGTACCACCGAGGGTTAGGTTATGGATCTGAAACAGCTGTGCCAGTATAGGAGGTTATTGTGATCATCCCAGATGTCAGCAGCTCAAACTCTCATTCTCAGTCATCCCACCTTCCCACCACAGTAGGTGACAAGCAACAGGACACTACTACTACAACCAGGGTTGTTTAGCCTGGAGAAGAGGAGGCTCAAGGAAGACCTTATCACCCTCCACAATGCCCTGACAGGAGGTTGGAGTCAGGTGGGGGTTGGTCTCTTCTCCCAGGCAACCAGCAGGAGGACAAGACTCAAGCTCTGCCAGGGGAGGTTTAGGTTGGATATTAGGAAGAGATTTTTTTATGCAGAGAGTGATCAGACATTGGAATGGGCTGCCCAGGGAGGTGGTGGATTCACTGTCCCTGCAGGTTTTCCAGATGAGACTGGATGTGGCACTTAGTGCCATGGTCTAGTAACCATGGTAGGGTTGGACTCGATGATCTTGGAGGTCTTTTCCAACCTGGTTGATTCTCTGAAACTCTGCCTCCTCTGCTGCAAGCACAGGTAACACCCTCCAGCTGCTCCTGCAGTGTCCAGAAAGCACACAGTGCCACACTCTCTCTGGGGCACAGCCACAGCTCATCCTGTCCCCTGGCTTGTCCACCTCATACCCTTTATATTGCTGTTATGGAGCAACACGTAAGGAACCTATAAATTACAGAACACTTCAGCTGCTAAATATTTCACATCTGGCACAGAGCTACAGCAGAGAGAAGGACACAGCCTGCATCTTTTCTCAGACCTGTGATCGCTCCTCTTTTCTGAGCTGAGGACACAGTGTATCTTGTCCACCCAACCTGCTCTTAAATGTGATACTACAGAATCACATAAAAGAATTAGGCAAATTATTTCCATCGTTGTTTTTTTTATAATCATATCCCTGAGACACAATTCTGTGTGCTAAAGCTTGACAGAATTTTGTCAAAATCCTACTGCAACAGCACATTACATCACCATGCAGAGGCCCTGTAATTAAATTATCCATTTAATAAGCTTAGCTGTTAAACCACACACAACAGTTTGAAGGAAGAATACAAAGTGTTATGAATGAAGGTAAATTACACCGTATTTTCCTATGCATGAGCTGCATATCCCTATAATTGTTCTCTCATTTCACATTAACTCAAACCTCCATCACTAGGTTGTTATCCATTCTCCCTGTTTTGTCTTTACTATCACTTTATCACCTGTACATATAACATTTTCTTTGAGGCCCAAATCCAATCTTTTATATAAATCAGAGACATACAAACCTAATGCTCTTTTTTTCTTCAATCCCTTTGCTTTAAAACATGTTATTAAAGCAATATGAGCAACATCACAGAAATGTATGAGTAACATCTTTAGAGAGGAAAAAATGGAAACCAAAATATTATCTGCTAAATTACAAAACTAATTGTCTGGAAAAAATATTGATTTTAGTTTTTTTGAGAATAAAAGGAGAGCAAAGAAAGTATTGGAACAGAACAAAAGAGAAACATGAAAACCACTGGCATCTGAACAGAAACTGGTGACAAAAAAATGAAAATGGTGACATTAAAAAAAAAGCAAACCCAAAACCACAAATACATGCTAAAAGTACATAAACTAAGAGTTACAAAGCACTGACTCACACATTTATAATCTACTCCTAGTATTACTGGAACTAGTGTCTTAGTTTAAAAGCATTAACTTTATGTTTTAATCCCAAAGCATCATGGAAAATGGTGCTTTGGGAAATGAAAAGTCAAAGGTAAGTCTGAAATGTGCCACAAGTAACACAGAAGAGCATAAAACTGATTTCTTTTAAAGAAGGGAAAAGACTATTCTCTTTTGAGGTTCATTAGGGGTTTCTGACCTAATGAAACACACTCACAAAACTCATGTTACAGCTTCTCCAAAAGTTTCAGCTTAAAATCCTACCTTTCACATCCTCATCCTCGATGGTTGTGTTGGAACTCTCTGTTGATTCCTGTTGAGAAGTAAATATGAGTAGAAGGTACAAAACAAGCCGAGCCTTATTTGCGTGCCTTGGAGAAGGACAGGATTAGTCACAGGAGTCATGCAAAGCCTTGAAGCAGGGTGGGATGTCATTCACAAACAAATGGGCACACACTGGTTAAGACATTTCCACCTGAAACGGATGTCAAACATTGCCATTCTCTACAGTAGGGAACAGAAACACATTTCCTGCTGTCTAATGCTTTTACTTCACAGGAATGGACAGGAAACTTTTCTTTAACATCCAACTGTACAAAGTCCATCTGAAATGTCACATGGATTACCTCAGCCAAGGAGGAGATCTTGCCATTTTAAGCTTAGTGATGAATCCAACTGTGCAAAATAAGTCATTCCATTCCAGTTCCACCTTTGGAACATGCAGACTCTGCATGCTACAATTTACAACTGGTTTTCTGCTCATGGGACTTATGCCATGTACATTAAACTGAAGCCTCCCAGTGATTTTAAGGATATTGGATCAGATTCAATTTTATACTGGTTTTATGATATTTGCTTTTTTTGAAGGAGATGGCGAATTGATAGATATGACAATGATTTGATAAGCTAAGGCATCTTTGTAGGAGTGTTTTTCGAGTAACCGGTCATGTAGAGGAATGACTCATCTATCAGACAGTTTATTCTTAAGCCACCACACTGTTAAAAAGGCAAGGATCTTGTATCTGTCTTTCATGAATGACCAGAAACATGAAATATTACAGGCAAATTCATAAGGACACTGTCAAATCTGACAGTTTCAAAGACCTGGAAAGTTTTGAAACTTGATTTTTTAAATGCTTTTACTTTCCTGAAAAGTAGAATATAATTATTCTTTTTTTAATTCCAGCTCAGTAACAAAAAGGATTAACTGATCTGTTTTTATCTGAGAGAGAGAAGATAGGGCTAGGTTTGTATTTAACTCTCTAAAGGATTTGACAATTAAATTGCAAAAGGTAAATTTGCCAGTGCCCTTTATTTACTGTGTCCTCACAAGGCTGAGCCAAAGGAATGTTCCAAAGGGCTAATGCATTACTCGACCTTAAAAAAAAACCCAAAACATGTGCATCATAAGTAAAACTATGGGAATTAATTCACACACAAAGAGAACTGAAGGAATCACCATGCTGTTCCTGCACTGGCTGGTGTTAGGCATTTCACTCCACATGGATGGATCATGCTCTACCACTTACAATATTAGATCAGGTACTTAGAAGTGAACGAAAACCTCTCACAAATACAAGTTGTAAACACCATGCAAAGCTCACAGGGCAGACGTAGCCTCTAAGACTGAAGCATCCACTCCAGTTGCCATACTACAAGGATCAGTCTTTCAGACAAATTTGGGAGGAACTCTGTGCATTAAGTGGTTCCTTTGTTTGCCGTGACCTTTTTGGGACATTGAGTATCTTAATTGCTGAGATTATAGCATTAAATCAAGTAGATGTAGTCATGCCAATATTTTGTCTGGGTTTTCTGGGCTTTAGTGGATGAAGATTAGCCTAGTGGGCAAACACAGGCTGCTGTTGCCTATGAGTTCAGACTTGGGGAGCTGAAACAGGAGTAACAGGGAAACACAAGTTCTGTGTCGGGCAGGGAACGTAAAGGAAGGGGATACACAAGCACAACACACACCATCAGCACTTCCATGCTTGAGGGATGTCTGCATGCATTGTTTTGTCACTCAGATCCAATCCTCCTCTCATGAAACAACCACAGGGAGTTAAGACTAGATAAATGAGATGTCAATTCTTTAAGTCAACACTGCAAACAGTGAAATTCTCGTTGAAGAGTAAATTCATTCCAGGAAACCTAGGAACATGTGTTATATGTAAAGGATGGTATTTTCCTGGCCCTTTTCAAGTCCATGCATGAAAAAAACAAAACAAAACAAAACACATTTTAGGGATCAGCTGCCAGACACAAACATCACAATACACAAGAAAAGGAAAAGAACGTGAAGAAAACATGTAAAAATCAAAAGGCTTTTTGGTCACTTGAAATGTGACCATTTTTTGGAAGCTGCTCAGTGATGTTATGGAAGAAAACCAAAGTCCTGTGCAAAAGACATCACGACACGGTGTGTAAGCATGCTGAGAAACAGCAGATGGGATCAACTGAAATGACATCTCTGTCTAAGGTGACAACTGCACATAGAACTCATCAGGATCATCTCACCACACTCTGAGAACAGCATTCTTGAGTTTTATTTATGCTGCAGCATTTTTGGCTGAAATGAGAGAGACCCCAGGCTCCCCGAGATGGGCTGCACAGGGCACTGAGCTCTGTCAACTGCTACCAACTCCCCCAGGAGCTTTGGGAGCTCGGCAGCCAGCAGGACGCACACAGCAGGTGAACACGGATGGAAACAGGCTCAAGAGACACCAGGTGCAACAAAGGTGGGAATGAGATTTTCCTTGATAAATCCCTGGAATGGCCCTAGTTTGTGGTGGAGTAGTAGTGGATGGAATGTGTGGTGTGGAAAAGCAAGATGGAGTTGATTCTTTCTGAATACCTTATTTCCATCAGGGTTGTGGATTACTGTAGTTTGGGGCTCCTGAGCGAGAACAAAATAAAGAGAGAAAGAGTTCCCATTGGTAAATACATTCTCATTGGTGTGAGGGAGTGCAAGAAGAGCCAGCTCACAAACGCTGAACACTGACAAGAGTTAAACCACACGTTAACTGGCCCCAGAGGGTGAAACTGGATGTCTCTAACACAGATTTCCTCAACAGCAAGCCAGCAAAAAGGCCATCTCACCTAAGGCAGCAGCATGCAGAGACCTTATTCAGGGCTGATGCGTGCAGGGCTTTGAAGCTCTGGAGACCTGCAGAGGCTCTTCTGCATGAGGGCAGGCTAAAGGCTTCATGTGCTTTCCTGCCTGAGCCAGGCCAGACAGGGCAGCCACAAATCACCTCTTTTCTTTCATCATGTTTGCTTGTATTAGTATTAAGGGACTGAATCATACAGACAAACTGATAAGGATTAAGGACGAGTTAACTCCCTCTAAACACTACCATGTTTTGGAAGGGGTAGATGACTACCAATTGCTGCCTTGGCACAGCAAGTGAGAGAGATCTTCATGTCATTTAGAAGAATAATTTCCCCAAATCCTTTTCCCTTGAACAGATTCAATAATCTTTGGAATGGCAGTTAGCCAGCACACTTTCAGCGTGGACTATTGGGCATGGCTGTGTCTGGGAACAGACTGCCATACACTCCTGCATGAAACTTGCTAGCTAGTCCTTAGACATTACTTAGGGCATGTGTCAGTGCCAGCTGCTCAAAACAATTCCAGAGGAAAAATCTTTCCTGCTATGTGTGAATTATCCCCACTTTCAAAGTTATATATGCATATGGGACAAAATACCCCATAAACCAGGTATTTAGGCACTGGCATTTGGAGCACTGTGATACGTGCAATGCCTGAGGAACAGAGCTACTAATAAAAGCAAGAGTGCAATGGAAACACTCTCAAACATCACTCTGATTAGCAACATGTTCCTACCAGAGTTTATTAATGAGTGATGTCTCCTGCCGATTCAAATGGAAGAGAAACAAGGAAAAATGCTTAGCTCTAGATGCCTCTTGATCCCAGAGAAGACTTGCAAAGTCCTGCTGAGTTTTTATGGGATGAAAAGCTGAATAAGGTCTGGTTTATGGCAGCCTAGCAATAATCCTGTTAGCTCTTCTGGATACCAATACTTACACTAAGACAAAGCAGAGAAATGATAGAGTTGCTTTTTGAGTTATGGTTCTTTTTCTGTGCAGAAGGTTAGCATTGATAGGTGGAAACAGTCATCAGGCAAAGAGCTAAGAGCAACATCAAGCGCATTCTACTCACTCTCTGGCACAGCATGCACAAAACTCAGCTACAGTTACAAAAGCTACGACTCTACCGCATCCAGCTCCCACTTAGCATGGGCTGGCAATAAACACGCTCTAATGGACTTCCTCACACGAAAAAAACACACCAGAATTCAAACAAAAAGCTTTTCCAAAACCTGTTTTTTGAAAGCAAACAGAGTCAATGCATGAAAAAAACAAAGCAAATTAAAAAAAAACAAAAACCAAGAAGGAAGAACAAACAGAAGACAGTCAAAAACTTCCAAGATAGCATGAGAAGGAAAATTCCAGGTATACCAGCGCCGGGGTAGGAATATTTTCCTTGGGGCTGGTTACCACGTTGGTTTTGTTGTTTATCTGTAGGTATGCAGAAAATAGAAACAGACAGGCCTTAGAACTCGCGGGAGGCACCGGATCTATATCTCTCTGTATAGAACATCTATAGACAGACATAGATATCTATAGCTAGATATAGATATGGAAATAAAGAATCACAGAAAGATGAACTTATGAACTTGCAGGAACGCTAAGAGCAGCTCCTGGAGCTGGCGGGCAGCTCCTCCCAGCGGGGATGGGCTCTCACAGGCACTACACCCAGGGCTACATAAGGCAGAGATGACTTCAACTGGGACACTTAACAGACCAGAGAGCCCTTAAGTAGCAGCTAATCACATATAAGAAGAATAAAGAATTAATACAGGCTTGAAGAAAGTCCTAAACAGCCATCGCCATTTCCTGACATGCAACAGCGTTAACTGATTTCACCCAGTAGTTCTTGATTTGCAATTAGCACTACCATAAATGATATTTGATTGTTTGTAGCTCTCCAGGAATCTATAGATCTGCTCTATTGGCTTCTGATTCCATAGCAGAATAAATATCGCTGACACTAGAAAAAATTGATGCCCCTTTAGCTTATTTGGTGCTATTTTCAACACAAATTAGCAGCTGTGAGCAACCTTTCAGTCCTGGTGCTATAACCTGGAAGCATAAGGTTTCATCCTATGGCACACATGGAGTTACTCCACCAGTCAGGACATATCTGACATGTAGGTCATCATGGTACTGCTTAAGCTTAGCACAGCACTGCACCTTTGCAAGACTTCTGGCCTTGATATCTGTAAAACATCATTCCAATTAAACTGCTTAGCAGTAAGTTTAAAGGTACCTGATTCTTTAAATCTATTTTTAAGCTTTCATTAACACCATGGGATGGGAAGAACAGAAATATTAAGGGTAATGTACTGAGCCACTTTTTACATGCACTAAGAGCCAAGACTGAAGAATAGGAAAATTGGTTTGAAAGATGTATTTTTTTCCTCTTGCAATAATTAGGGAAAAATATTAGGTACATTTTGGTTGTGTCTACTTTAACCAGAGCAGTCCAAAGCAGCATGCAGAACTAGGTGTAAAGATATAGTCTGGAAAGACTTGGAGCAAAAAAAAAAAGAAGTTCCACTGAATCTTCTAGTCATAGTACTTAGTAATAAATGTGTAAAACAAGGGAGAAAAACTCAAAAATTTTTTCATTATGGATTTTTCTAAAAATGTAATTAACTTCTATGTTTAAAGAAATAAACTGGGGCAATTCTGGGCCAAAACTGGCTATTTTTTCTTCTAAAAGAAAAGCCTTTCTATGGCACATGAAAAGGCACAAAGAAAGAGGAAGCCCTAGAAGAGTGGAGCAAACTGAGCTGCGAATGAAGCATCTGCCTTACGATTTAAACTTCCCAGTGGCTCTGTAGGCCCAGAAGAGCAATTCAGCTTCCCAGCATGAGGAACTTAACTTTCAAGTTAAGGCTTTGCTAAGTTCCAGCCCTGAGCACTGAGCACCACCAGGGAAATTCAGGGAACTTCATGTCCTCTGCAGTTTTTGATGACCATTTTACTTTGGCCCAGCTGACTCGTGGATGGCAGGAATGAAGCCTGCAGCTGAAGGGAATCATACTCAGGGAATGTCTAGATTATGGAAATGTCAACAGGATTTGCAGTAATTAATTACAGACTGCAAATTTCTTTATCTTAACCAGCTTTTAACTGGCTTTGAGGAATCAAAAGCAGTTTGGTTAGTCAATCAGGGAACATTATGTCAGCACTAAATGTTATTTAGTAACACTTGTGATAGGAACCATTCTCCTTTATACAATAAAAATAATTTTCTTTGATCTAAAATCCAAGATCATCATGCACTACAGCAGGAGGATGAGAACAGTTAGTTTTTAGCAATGCTCTCTCTACAGAAATTGTCACTAAGAGAAAATGTAAGTCATTATTGACTTCCAGGTGCTTAGTTTATGCTCCATCCTAGCCTAGTTCTCATCAAATAAATTTCATTTATCTATTCACCATTGCAGCCATAAATGTAAGGGTGTCTGAGGTCAAGACGGGGAGAGAACAAATACCTTTGTGCATAAAGTCTTTCATGGGGAGACAAAACTATTGGCAAGTGTTTTACAGTTCAATTAACCTGCTTTGATATTTATGGGACTCTGAAATGGGCAGAACCCGAACTCCTTACTCAGGGAAAAGCTTTAAGAACATCCCAACCACTTCAGGAAACAAAAGTTCTCCAGGAGAATTGTGGAATAGTGAGAACACAGACAAACCTTCCAAAACAAGAGAAAAATCAAGTTGTAAAACACTAAATTCATATTTTTGGGACAGTGTAGTCATTGAAAGATTACAAATTAAAGGGCTCTAACTAAAGGCAAATAGGCACAAAGAAAAAAAATGAGGAAAGTAATGAAGATTTCCCCAGATTTCATACAGTCCTAGTCAGTAGCAGCTTAATGCAAAATCTTAAGTGATATCCCAAATGAATGTTGTTGAATACACAATGAAAGCAGGTTAATCAAATTTCAGCTCCAATTTTGCCTGAGTAAGGAGAGCAGGTTTGGGTCCATACTCCCTTGGTGACAGCTCTACGGAAACAAACACAATCCATTATAGCTACTGCTGAAAACTGCAGGAAATACATTCAAACCTCCTTTAGTAAGATATAGAGAACCCAACATTCATTAGTAACAGCAGGGAGAGAGAAAGTCATTCAAAACTGTTATTTCCATGTAACCAGAGCTTGGTAAAAGCCTTTGAATCTTTGAGAGAAAACAGCAATTATCTGTACATGTTTTCTCTCTCACAGAACACAGATACATTAATATCTCAACACACATGGTATATTTTGCATGTATTTTTAACAGCATAGGGATATCATTCCAGAGGGAATAAAATATTTTCATAGGAAACAGTTGTTCTAAAGTTGATTTATGCTTAATTAGTGACCTTCTAGTTGTTGTTGTGAAGGAGAACTTTTATGCTAATGCATATTTTGCCAGAAGCCACTCTCTGAGGTCTGACAGCAGAGCAGGACAGACACACACACACGCTCCAAACAGCTGGGCATGAACATAGAAATCATTATGGGTCTTTTTTTCCATAGAATATAAAATATTTTAAGGAACAAACACTGTATCATGGGACTTAATCTTTCACATGGTACTTCCATAGCAAAATGTTAACACACACTTCAGGTTTGGGATCCTAGCAATACCCACACTGGACCTTTCTTTCTAGTGACCTTCCTTTGGACACCACTACCACTGATCCTGGCACTGAAATCCTGTGCTCACCCAAATAACAGACAAATTACATACATAACTGCTCAGACCTTATCAGCAGTCTTTGGTTCTTAAGGAGGGTTGTACTTCCCAGTGAAAGGTGTGGATCATAGAACCAAAGAATCACCAAGGTTGGAGGAGACCTCTAAGACTATTGAGTCCAACCATTAACCTGTCACTGCTGGAACCCCTAAACCCTCCAGCATCAGATCCAGACACCTCTTAAACACCTCAAGGAATGGTGACTTCACCACCTCCCTGGGCAATATTCCAGTGCCTGAACACCCTAACAGGTCTCTCCTAACATCTAATCTGACTCTGCCCTGTCTCAGCTCAAGGCCATTCCCTCTCGTCCTCCCTCCCCCTGACGGCAGGAGAGACATCTCCCACCTCTCCCCAACCCTGTGATGGAGCTGGAGAGAGCCATGAGGTCCTCCCTGAGTCTCTTCTCAAGGCTAAACAAACCCAATTCCCTCAGCTCTTCCTCATACGACATGTTTTTCAAACCTTAAATCATCCAGACCTGGATGAGCGATATTTGCCTTCTCTCTGCTGGCAGCAGCAGGCACAGCCCATCATCATGAACACCTCAAAGGGCAGATTCAAAACCATAACAAACAGGAATAGAGTAAGTTATCATGTGGGATCATAGAGGCTGAATGGACACAAGACTGGAGAGTAGATTGAGGAGGAAGGAAAGTTATTGAGACTGTCAGTTAGACATCCTGTGGCACAGTCCTGAGCTGTGGAGGAAGCTGGCTGGGAAACTGTAGTATGGAAAGGCTGGGAAATTGGCTGTTTCACTCCTGAGCATTTAGCATGGCATCTTGGGCTCTAGTGGCTCAGTTAATGCAATACTATTGCACTGTGCAACATGGTTTGTGCAATGTTTTACGGTATTAATACATTAGCTTTTAAGATCAGGAGGTTTTAAAAAGGAATAGAAAGCTGTTATAAGGTTACTATTTGGTTACTCTTCTTATTGACTAAGGACAGCTGCATTGGCTGATGTTACATCTACTTTGTTGTTTTCATATGTCCCCAGGTTAAAAAACCATTACAGACTTGCTTGAAAGAACTGCAGAACGAGTCACTGTGGATGGCATATAGCAACTGTAGGCTGAAAACTCACAAGGTTGGGCTTTAAAGTCTGGCAGCTTCTCACAGTATGTTAACAAAGCTAAATGCAACTGTTTGATTTCTAAGTGTGAACGTTTCACAGGAGGAAAAAAATCTGTCGATAAAGATCCTCACCATCATCTGAACACTCGAACTGGACTTCCTTTTCTGAATTGACCAGTCAGAGAGAAAGGAAAAGAAGAAAACGTGACTGGTTGGATTTGAAGTATCAATGCATGGAGTACAGTATATTTCTCTTTTGGCTTTTTGTTTTTTAAATCAGAAAAAAAGACAGCTTAAGCTGTAGGAAGGGGTGGAAAAATGCTATGAGTATACAGTATCTCAGTAACAGAAACGACAAAAACAGACTTCCCCAGGTGTAAATCTACTCCCTTTGCTCCACATGACCATGCAGACAAACAGCAGACACATAACAAGTACTGGAAACCAAAGTCTCAAATCCCAACAAGGGTAGGCAAAATTTTGGCAACAATTGTTTCCCATATTCTAATCGAAATTGAGATAGAACAAATACCACGTAGACCTGTAGGAGGAATGATATTTAGAAAGGAAAAGCTGGTCAGATAGAGTGCATAAAATTTATGTATTCCACAATGAGACATGGTAAGGGTTGTCCACAGGAGTGATGGAATATGTGCTTCTCCATGTGACTAAGACATCTACTACTGGCAGTGAGAAGCACCGAAATCATAGTGTACTCATGTCATTTTAGGCCAGGCTCATTTTTTTGATCAGAAAAGTGTGCATGTGTGGGAGAATAGGAACAAATATACCGTGAATCTTGTACTTAAGTATTTATAATGTTTTGTAAAACTAAGACATTAAGTAGAAAATTAAAACTCAGGTCAGAGACACTTCTGAGTGAACACACAGAACACAGAAGAATATCTTTTGATTCTCATAGTGAAAGCTTGAGGCATTATAGCATATTAGTCTTCAGGAGTCCTCTGAGAAAAGAAATAAAATAAATGTCCTGCTGAGTGAGTTTTTTTTCCAAGTATTTATCTAGAATGTTCACTTGTGCAGAATCTCTCCTCCTGCAGGATCTGGTGACGTGACAATAGGAGCTCTAAATCATGTACGAAAGCTGCCAAAATGTTCCCTTCTTAGCAAGGTCTCTTAGTCAGGATGAGCTGATTTGTTGAGATAGTAAACCCCTCAAGTTCTGCCAAATATAACAAGTACATCTGGCAGAATACACCTCATGTGGAGCCAAGCCTACCCACAAACTTTTGGTCTTCCATGAAACCCAATGAAAAGCCAAGGCGAAACAGAGAGGCAATAGAGCTGCAGATAGACACTGATGCCTACAAAGCTAACACACCCACCACCAAACATTGTGCATAAGTTAATTAATAACTCTGGGTCATTAATTACACAGTCATCCTTCATTAAAATAGCAAGAAAAGCATTTTCTCCAGTAGTTTTCTAGCTTCTATTTAATTCCTGTTTTTCAGGTGTTTCATTTCATTTTTAAGCTTTACCTGCTAGCATTAATGACTTCAAATAAGTAAGAAGCACTTATTAACAACTTCTCTAAAGGAAAGGAATAACAGCAATCAATTCTAAGACCTGGCAGAAGTTACAGATAGGTGGTGACTAATAAAATACATTTAACCTACCTTAACTCCATCTGGTTTCTTCAGCAAACTCTTGGCTGCTGTAAAAGGAGACAAAGAATTTCAGTGTCAGGTGGTTCCCCCTGAGCTTACCCAGCTGCACACAACCCCCACTGCCTCCCAGCTCCACAGACATTCTCAGCTTTTATTTCCTCCTTTTGTTCTCTAAGTATAGGGAATGCAATCTTTGAGAAACTACCAATACTTAAGATGATCAAACATCTGATTTAAAGTTGTAGGATAACTGTACTTAGACAAGGAGAGAGCTCCTTGGGCAGCAGAGAGGAAATGGAAGCAGGGTGAGTGTAAAAGCAGCAGCTTTGGGTATATTCATGTTTTCAACTGCAATGTATTTGTTGATGGGGATTGTTTTATCTGTTTGATAGTTTGATGTGACTATGAAGAAGTATTGTTCTGATGCAGGGACTTGCACCAGATGTTTGCAGAGCCCACTGATGTTATTAATGTGACAGGGACATAAAAATAACTTGCATCAGATCAGTAAGGTACCTAGAGATCGTGGTGAGGTGCAGTGTTATCTATCTGCTCCACCTTTAGGAATTTCCCACCAGGGCAGCATCAGTCTCCTTGCGTGAAAGGTCAAGGCAGTTGTAAATCAGAAGGGAAGGACAATTTGCTAGCAAAGTCTTGTTTTGGAGAGTTGTTTCCCAGTGGTCAAAAATAACAAATTCTAGGCTTTGCTTCAGCTTCTAATGAAGAAAACCTGCTATTTTCTGAGTCAGGGTGTACACTGATCACGTTTCTTCAAAGCAGTGAAGACTGATGGGCAAAACTTCATTTGCCATAATATTATTCCTGTGCTAGGCTTTCAATTCCACCACTTAAAACTGGCACCAAATCCCTCCAAACTGCTAAATTTGGAGGGCTAACGTGCAAGCAAGCACAGCTCAGCTCTGAACCTGAAAGCATTTCCAGCAGAAATACACACTGGCTGACCTACCAAATCCAAATGAACTATTCACTAAAGCGTAAATGCTTCGTGACTCACTGCCAAAGACTTGAAGAATAATAAATTACACAACAAGCCTGGCATTATTTGGGTTTGATTGCTGTTTATGACCCAATCTTCACTTCCGATCATATTTCACAGCTTGGGCTGTACGAAATTGCTGTGCTACATATAAGGGAGACAGTCCTGACATGGAGCTCCATCATAAGGATGGCAGTAATAAAAAACCCCAAACCAATTGGACCTTGTGAGCCTAAGGCTGCTCAGCCTGAGGGTATTTAAGTTTATGAATATGTAATTTACAGTTGAAGCTAATTCTTGTAATTGTGGCTTATTTTCCAAATGGGCTGTACGAAATTGCTGTGCTACATATAAGGGAGACAGTCCTGACATGGAGCTCCATCATAAGGATGGCAGTAATAAAAAACCCCAAACCAATTGGACCTTGTGAGCCTAAGGCTGCTCAGCCTGAGGGTATTTAAGTTTATGAATATGTAATTTACAGTTGAAGCTAATTCTTGTAATTGTGGCTTATTTTCCAAATGCATCGGCATTAAGTGCTCATTTTAGAGCACAGAAAATACAGGATCACTTCAGTGACTGCACAGAAATGACTGATGTCCATTATTATGTTGTTTACATGAAATAAAACCTGGAAAGTGAAGCCAGGTTAATGTTTATGATTTCATTAACATATCAGCCCTCTGAATGCAGTGTAATAATTGTGGACATCAGCCAACACTGCCATCAGAGCTCCCACAAGGCCCATGGCTTACAAATAAGATGAACAAAAATACATGCGCCTGTATTATGCAATAGGACTGCTGCATGTTTTTGTTCACAGAAATATGTGCGTAAATATTGAAAACAAACCATTTTCCATACATCTTTGATAAGATACACCTTGTTGCAATGTGTGCTTACAGGATCTGATGCAACAGGGCCTTAGCTTTTACGTCACCACAAATATTGTAGGCACTCCTTTAACTTGAGGAATGCATTTAGGGAAAGCAAAGGGAGGAGCTATTTCTGAAACATAAGGCCAGAAAACATAGAAGTTAACTGCTTTCAAAGCCTGTTTCATCCCCCCCAGCCCTGACACTGGCACAGGGTGCCCAGGGAGGCTGTGGCTGCCCCAACCCTGACAGTGCTCAAAGTCAGGTTGGATGAAGCTTTGAGCAACCTGCTCTGGTGGGAGGTGTCCCTGCCCAGGGCAGGGCATTGGGGCTGGATGATCTCTAAGCTCCATTCCAACCCCTAAAATTCTATGAAAATACGAGGAAACATACACTAATCCTTATAGGCTGCTGTAGGTCCTTTTGCTCCATTTGTGCATGAAACTTGTGAGTTCTTTCAATGCTGAGCAAACATTACACGTTCTATGTAAACAATTAAATGAAAGCCAGGAAAATGAGGGCACCAAAAAGCAATAACAACAAGTATTGTGTGTGTGGCACTGCCAGCATGTCCCTCAAAACGTGCCCGGGATGGATTACTATGCAGTATTTCATGTTGTAGGATGTATTCCGTACTCAACTGCCTCTGTTGGGTTTGGCTTGGAATGTAATTTTCGTAGTATTTTGATTCATCTTTCTTTAATCACAGATACTGCATACAAATCAAATATTGAAAGAATTTGCAGGAGCAAAGCAATCAGCATATTCTAAATTAAGCCCACAATGAAAGATTTCTTGCAACTACAAGCAAGAGCTATAAATAAAACCTAAGGCAGCACTAATAGGCCAGAAAGCAGGCTGGAAAGAAATGCTGTTGTGACAACATGGAGAAATTAAAGTGATTGAGGACAAACAGCAATTTGGATTTAGAAGAGGAAAAAAGAAGTTCCTTTCACGTGCTGAGGGTCTTACCTCACAAGAAATATACATTCCACATAAAAGGAAGAAAAAAAAGGAAAATAAAACACTTTTATAACCACATCTTTATGGACAAATGACCTCCCAAAGCATGCTTGGCAATGAAATACAATGAATGAACCAAATGGAAAAATCAAATGTCACCAAGAAAAAAATACAGGTCATTATGGTGTAAAACAGGAGGTGACGGGTGAAAAAAAATCCAAAAACAAAGCATAAAACAAATCCTGTTGGCTTTTCATGCTGAAATACTGTTTAAAACTACTTCAACTTTGACTGTTCATGGAAGTTGAATTTGATCCTTACATGTATAGACAGTGACAGTCATGGAAAGGGATGAGGATGATTTATTTGTTGGATATTTAACAGTCATTCACTTTTACAGGGTGTGCAGCCTGCAGCATTCCCACCTTTAAATGAGCTGGCAAACACTGGGGATTCATTAGGCATCAGCTCAAAGGAGCTGAAGTAAATGCAGCCTTCTGTGTTTAGGTGTGTATTAAATAAAGGCACTTAACTAAGAAAGAAATTGTATGTTAAGCACAATGCAAATTGAACAAGTTGTTCTGGCATTCACGATTATGCAATTTTTTTGGATGAGTCAGTGCTTATTATTACTCAAAACATGCCCAAAGCACTATCATGTTTTTGTCTGTACAGTAATTTATGTTACACTCCAACAGTTGCATCATAGAGGAGGAGGGTATGTACAATCATGGATTTTTAAAGCTGGTGTTCTTTTTCATCATTCACTCAAAGTCTCTAATGGAAAAACGACAAATTCAACATAGCATCAAGATTTTGGCAATAGTGCTATGGAGGACAATTCTAACTCTGCTAACAGCAAGTGCAACTTTTGCTATTCTATTTGTTTAGTATAAAGATCCAAATCTTCAGGGATAACACTACAGAATGATTTCATGAAGGGGAAACAAATGTTATAATATCCAGCTAGGCACTGCTAGGCATTACAAGAGCAGGAAAAGGACGACTCATGTTACTACATTTCTTATTTCTTAGCACAGCAATAAAGAAATGGAGGTGCATTACTTTAGTTTTAATACAGGATGTAAAAGAATCATGGAATGACAGTTCACATGTATAAAAATAAGTAAGATTTCAATGTGGTTTGGTGACACTTATGCATGTGGAGTTATATGCATCACTTTCAATTCTCCTCCACCAGAACAGGCAGAAAAACACTGTCCATCTTTTGACAGGTAACAACCAAAATACAGGGAAGGAGCTCAAATTCTACTGAAAAATTAGACTAGAAGACAATCTCTTTGGCTGAAATAGTTTAAATTCTCATTTACTTCTTCAAAGGAAACAACTTCAGAAATATCATATTTAGATGCTCCTGTATAACAAAGATCTTTGTGTACTGCTGAATCCTAATTAGACCTTAGTCATGACAGACATCAAAGCATAAGTACTGTATTAATCTGTCGCTCAGTGAACATACCTGAGAAATTTCTGGTAGCCAGCATTGTGGTCAGAATGGCCCCCTGTGTGCACACACATTTGCTCAAATTAGCATCACACTCGTGTAAAGTTCTGCACGTGAACGAGACACAACCGAAAACAAAACGCGCGGAAGTGACATCAGTTACTGAACCAGCCCTGGAAGAACAGATTGTCTGGGCATTACCTCTCACCCACCAGGCCATGAAAGCATAAACTGTGGTTTAATCTTCAGCACACACCTATCAGCAATCTTGATAAGCTCTAATATTTCCCAGTTGTGAGCACACAATGCATAAGCCACAAGTGCTCCCAGGCACAGCAGTTACATGGCTGAATATGACAGAGACTTTACTGACATCTTTAGATTCATTTTTTAGGGAGGAATAGAAGATTATTTGTAATGTACAAACAACACTAGAAATGTTCACATCTGTAAAAATTTCCCATCAGGCCAGGAAAAAAAGAAAGGATAATCCAAAAGAATAACCTTAAGGATTTTCCTTCACCAAAATATTTTAAATGTCTAAATGAAGCTGATTGTTATTATTTTGAATACAAAATATGCTAAATTCTATTCACCTTCATGAAAAGTCTAAGATCCTCGTGGCAAAAATTGACCATTTATCAATAGTTCAATTAAGCGTAATATGCAGCAAAAATGTGCTTAGGGACCATTTGTTTTATATGTGGAACATGAGCACAAGTTTTCATTCTTACCTTTAGTTTTCTTCTTGCATTGAATTTCTTCAAGCAATCTACAGTCTCTTGTCTGTGCATCATAGAGGCAACAGTCGAACGTTGCTAGGAGAAGAAGAGAAGAACAATTTTAAGACACCCAACAAGCTGTTTGGCAGTTTATTTACTCTACAACACACATATTACAACCCACATGGTCCAAAACTTGGGTGTTTATTTTCTACCTCATCTGACATTGTGCAGACCTCTACACATGTGGGAAAATTCCAAAGCAACAAAACTGAGGTCTCATTTTACTCAGCCTTTTTCACCTGCAAAGTCCTCTTTAGAAGTCACAGTGTGGAATACACTGAGAATTGGAGAGCAGCCCTGGATGCAGGAGCAACCAGGCAGCCTCTGCTACCTGAAAATTGACTTCTAAAATGCTTTTCATTTCCTGTCTTTACAGTTCATGCCTATCATAATGGTCACAGGGAAATGAAGAAGCAAAGTGCTATCTAACTCAAAGTTACATTTTTGTAAATGAGTTTCACTTAGAATTTAAAACAACACTCTAATTTTGGCAGGAACTTCTGCACCACAAAGTCAGGGCAAAGGAGTTATTTCTGCAACAATCTTATCCCAGGTTGAGATCTCAACATTCACCACTATTGACTTTATCTGTGTAATTACAACTTTACACCCCCTAGTTCCATAGCTGCATGAGTAAGGACAAAAGTTACCCTCCAAACACCTTTGCTATATGCTGAACTAAACAATAACTCAAATCACCCTGTTAAACCTGTGGAAATTACTTACACAGATCCATGGATGCTTTAGTGCTTCTGATGCTGTGATACGTTTCGCTGGGTTGATAGTGAGCATTTTATTGATAAGGTCTTTTGCCTCAGGAGTCACTGTGTCCCATTCTGGGGAGGGGAACTTCAGAGAAAAATACACATGGGTATATTATCTTCTGTAATCTCTAAACAATTTTACCTAAGGATCCAGTACTGGATTCAAAGAAGAGCTTAAAAATCATAAGGTTCTGTTTTTTCCCTCTTCATCATTCACAAGTTACTTAAACCTGAGGACCAACAGACTCTTTTCTGTTTAACACAATATAAATAGATGATGGTGCAAGGTCTATATTTAGGAAGTTGTAGACTTCTTAGAAACAATTTGGAATAACTGATGGAGTTTAGAGTCACTGGTTGAAGTGATAAACCCCAAGGGAAAACACAGGCCCCTGGGAGGTCACAGAGGCCACAAGAGGCTCACCAGGATAACGTCAGCTTATTTGATGTATACAAGGAGCAGACAATGAAAGCTTGGAGCCATAGGCAAATCAGCTTTAAATTGGCATAGGGTGTTCCCATCTCAATCAGGTTCAAGTTATTAAAGCAACTTTAGCTATTTTGAGTGACTCTAAGATCATCAAGACATAAAAATTAGGAAACCATTCCAATTTCACTTTTCACTCTAGGAAACTCCTACTCAGAGGTACAATTACAAATAGCTGAATAGACAGCATGGTACATACATCATAAGCACCAGCCTTGATCTGCTGGTAGAGCCTGTGCTGGTCTTCATCCCAGAATGGAGGGTATCCCACCAGGAGGATGTACAGAATGACTCCTGCAGAAGATTCACAGCACCATTAAGGAATTTCAAGATACAAACTCCAGAAATTCACTTAGTACCTAACAACCATGTAAAACAAAAGGCTCAAGAGTATCATCCAAGTCACTGGAAAATACTGCACTTCCTCCTGGAGAAAACAGTACATGTGGGGTTCACAAGAGAACCTCTTATGGGCAATCATGAGCACCATAGATCAGGAATACTGGAAATATTTATCTAACTGCAGAAATAATATTCCATGATTCTGGATGTTTGAGGAAAATGCATTTATTACTTCTGGTTTTATCATGGCTAGTAGTGGTGTCTGTAAGATTGTGTTTTGACTCATCTCATGCAAAGAAAATTTGGGCAACTCAGTTTATCTGTATAAGTATATGGTCAATAGGAAATTAAACGACCACCTGCTGTTCTTACAGAGATGGTTCTCTGTTACTGAAGAACTGCTTCCATAAATACAACCAAATAAGGATTGTGGGTAGAAGTACAACAAGGAAAGCAGCCACTGTTTTCAGCTGGGTACCTGCCAGTACCTCACACTACACTGCTTCAAGAATTGGGTGATAAATAATTGCTCTGTACTCTAGTTCACAAAGCATTTAATTCTGCAGTTTAAACCTGCAGTTGTGGTGTGTTGGTCAGCTCATATTTTAGGCTGCTTGTGAACCAAAACTAAGGCTCAGCTCACAGGGTGAACTGTTACCCTTTCTAATTATTCAGGCATCACACACCTGCAGCTGTAGAATAACAGAAAATCCAATGACCTCCATTGAAAATTAATACTGAATTTCATTAAATGCCCATTTTCTGATGCAGAATATAATGCAATCTGGACATCATTTCTCACCCTTAAAACACTTCACAGTGGACTGAACACATCTTTCAGAGTAATGTCTTACCACATGCCCACATATCCACAGGTTTGCCATAAGGATCTTTCCGTAACACTTCTGGGGAAAGGTATCCTGGGGTACCAGCAAAGCCTGCCAAAAGCCAAGGAATTATTGTCAAAAGCTGTATGTGCTCTGCAAAAGTCAAGTGACGTTCACCTCAGCCCACAAGACACAGGACATCATCTCCCAAGTCATCAACCACGAACTGCTTGATTTGGAAATTTGCTTTTTATGGTACATCACCTAGAAGGATCAATAATGGGAACACTTGTGCAGAATAAGAGCATCCCTGTCTGCCATCATGTCTGGTAGAGGCACTGACCTGCTAATAAGCAGCTCTGTAGAAAGGACCTGGGAGTTCTGGTGGACAACTAGCTATCCATGAGCCAGCCCCTATGGCTAAGAAGGCCAATAGGATCCTGGGATGCATGGGGAAGAGCATTGCCACCAGGTCAGGGAGGTGATCCTGCCTCTCTACTCAGCCCTTGTATGGACACACTTGGAGCGCTGTGTCCAGTTCTGGGCTCCTCAAGACTAGAGGGACATGGAGCTCCTGGAGCAGGTCTAGCAGAAGGCAACAAAGATGCTGAAGGGACTGGAGCACCTCAGTGATGAGGAAAGGCTGAGGGAGTTGGGGCTGTTCAGCCTCGAGATGACTGAGAGGGACCTCATTGATGTACTCAAGTACATGAATGGGAAGTGCCAAGAGGATGGATCAGGCTCTTCTCACTTGTGGAAACCAACAAAGTGGGAGGTAAGAGCAAAGGAAGTTCCACCTGAATACAAGGAAGAACTTCCTTTCCTGTGCAGTCACTGAGCACTGAACAGATTGCACAGAGAGGACATGGATTCTTCCTTAGTGGAGATACTCAAGAACTTTCTGGACCCAACCCTGAGCCATGTGCTCTGGGCTGGCCCTGGTTGAGCAGGGAGGTGGGACCAGATAATCCATTGTGGTCCCTTCCAACCTGACTCTGTGATTATGATTCTGTGACTTCCAGGAGTGAGATGCAAATACCTGTGGCTCAGGGTCAAGGTGAAAATTCAGCAGAGTAGGGGAAATGTGGAAAACATTATGTGAATGATTCCCTTGAAGATATTAACTGAATGGCAGAAAATTTCACACCATGCATGCCAAAAACTGTTACTGGGTATTTTTAATCATTAGCCTAATTTAGGCTGTTTTAAAATAGAACCAACATATAAAAATTGAGACTGTAAAGATGACTTGGATGGGATTTCTGGGAGTCCACCAGCTGTCAGCTGTGAAGGTTGTTACCACACACAGAGCACTTCCTCTGACATTTGTGGGGGATTAATTAGCAAAGCAAAGGGGCACCTAAGCTACAATATCATAACTGTAAGGAGCATTTAAGGAGTTCTGTTGAGTGGTATGGGAGGGCAGGTTTCTGAGTAAACAACATACAGAAAAGTGATTAAATCATTTAGAAGGAAGGAAAAAAAGAGTAATCAAAATTCTTCACACAGAAATGGAAACTCAATTCAGCCAGATGGTGGTAAAGTAAGTGTTCAGAGACATACAGGCTTAGCTTTCCAAATAACACAATTGGGTTTTACTTAGGATGAAGCCCACCAAACCCAGGGCTCAGCCTTAGCTGTTTGTATTTCTCACAGCTACTGCTAATCTGATCTTCTCACTGCAAACTTCATTTCTGTGGAGTTGTTCCACTTCTGGCAATCTCCTCACAGAAGTTTACAGAAGCATCTCTGAAGCAATCTAGCCTTTAAAATTTATATGTTCTTCATCCTTTATTCATTACCAACAGTGCTGCTTTCTCTAAGCAGAAATGCAAAATGTAGGTATAAATGTTACTTTTCTTAGGACGCTGTAAAGGATAAAAACTTAATGACCACTAACAGTCTGTGCCATTTCAATGAGTGTGAGTGTTCTTCCAAGCATCTTTGCCTAAAATAAATGCATGAAAGGTGAGAATTCAGTGGCTTTTATGCAGGACCACATGTCACTTGTGCAATACCAACTTGGATTCCACAAGACTCATGAGAGACGGTGATAATATATGAAGTGTATGGCAAATCATTTGGAGTGGGAAGAGGAAATGAAGGAACTCATTCTGTATAGTCTACTGAGGAAAGAGCTAAAACATGGTCATGAAAAACAAGCCTGTTTTTTGCAGTCTCCTGATATGAGAGCTATGAATTGTTTAGGAGTACTATCATACAGGAAACACATCTTAAGCTCTTTGGAGAAGCTGAAATATAGATGTTCTAAGTAGCTTTAAATAGAGTGCTGTTTCGTAGCTCTTCTTGGCTGTAGTGCTCTACATTAGTATTTTTGCTCATTTTAAAGGGAAGGTAAAGTTGTCTTGACTTTAAAACTTAGCACAGCTCAATGAACATTACTATGCATCACTTGCAAATAAACTTGAAAGAGAAAATAAATAAAGCACCTAGCTAACCTTATCTAATTATATACAGAATGAGTCTAAATAGAAATAATTGCCATAGTTTTAGTACATAGAATCATACAATGGTTTGGGTTGGAAGGACCTTAAAGATCATCTAGTCCCACCCTGTGCCATAGGCAGGGACATCTTTCACTAGCCCAGGTTGCTCCAAGCCCTGTCCAACCTGGCCTGGAACACTTCCAGGGATGGAGCAGCCACAGCTTCTCTGGGCAATCCATGCCAGTGCCTCAGCACCCTCACAGGGAACAATTCCTTCCTAATATCCAACCTAAACCTACTCTTTGAGTTTGAAGCCATTCCCCCTGTCCTGTCACGACATGCTCTTGTAAGTAGTCTCTCTCCAATATTCTGAGTGGTTTAAAGAAGCAAACACAGAAGGATACACAGTCATGATCTCAGTGAAACAGAACATACTAAACAGTTAACTTATTTATCAGATAAACTTATTTATCAGATATTTATCAGATAAAACAGTTAACTTATTTATCAGATAATTCTGTTCAGAGGGACCCCAAGTAAGTGTGTACTCTTCAGAAAACTACTGTTAATAGTAGGAACTACTTCAGCTAGGGCACCTGCAAAGCTGGAAACTGACTGTACAGTATGTAGAAAAGAATGAATCACCTTGTACTCCTATCACTGTGTGATTTAAGTGACCAGAGATTTAAGTATCCAAAATCAATGCTGTGCTTTTGGTGAGTTTGCTGGGGCATGGGCACATGAGATGTCACTCAGCCTAAATAACTAACAGTCTCAAACCTTCCTTATGCAAAGATTATATTTACCCTTGACTTGATAAATGGTGAGCACCTCTCTTGAATCAAAACTTGCTGAAGGTCATCTGTAATCCCACAACATAAAGAGCAACTCCATCACCTGCAGCGAGGGGCAGAGTCACCTGCCTGACACCTTCCCAGCACATTAAACATCTGCTAACAGGGTGGAAGGTTTCCACTAAGCCCTGTAACACTTTCTACAAATAGACAATGAAGAAATTTGTTTTACAAACATGTAAACCCTCAAAGAATTCTGTGTATTCAAACACAGAGCTCGAGCCAGTTTCCTGCTGTGACAGAGAAGGGACCATCACACCAGAGGACTACACCCTAAAAAGGGGGGGAAGAAAGGAAAAAAGAAAGAAAACCATACTGATGCAGAGCTATCATTAGAATCAGAACATGCCATGGGCCACCAAGTCCTGCAGAATCCAGTGGAAAGCAGAAAAATCTTCTGGAAGACACTGAGAAAAAGTTCAAAACACTGAGTACTTTGAAGTTCATGTTCTGCCCTGTTCAAGCAGTCCCAAAGCTGAAGGAAGACACTCAGACCACTATGGAAAGGCTTGCCAGAGGAAGCTCCAAGAAAGGTACAGAACCTACTAATCTTATCAAGTACCACATTTTTTATAGAAAAAGAGCCACATTAGACTACTTTGTTTTTATTACCTTGCTGACTCTTCCTTACACATATACTTTGAAGACATTCTGTTCACTTCTGTCAAGTTCTCGTGATAGTGAGTCTAAACCAAACACTTCACAAGAAGCAAATGACCAAAAAATGAAGTGCAAGGCTTTAGAGGGAATTGGAACCTCCTCTGCATCATCTGTAGCCACAGTATGTACAGAAAATCCCCCTGAAGTCAAGTTCAATCTGCTGCTTTTTTTCCTGAGACGCTTCCTGTTTACCTGATGTTTTTGTCATTGTCACAAATCACTTGTGTTTTGCCTTGTTCCTATTGCACTCCTGTTGTACTGGTCTGCTCGTTGATGTGCAAGAGCAATCTCCTGTGCCTTTGTGGATTACTGGAATCCATTTATATAAAGGCTGGGATTTAAAACAACAGGCTAGCTTATCAAGCTGCCAACATATGTCCAACAGCACTGCCTGGGCAGCTACATGTAGTTATAGCCTCCACTGCAAACACTCTCCCTCTCCACTCACTGCCTGCACCAAAACCTTTGTGCTTTTATTCCAACCTTGACAGCAAACTCACAGTCACTTTATTCCATTTTAGCTGCACTTTCTAGCTGCTCTTAGGGATAACAGGTAGCTGCTATAAATATTTTATTCTGTGTTTTTTTCCCACCTGGGATTTACAATAAGTTTTGTCCCATGCTTCACATCTGTTCAGAGGGTGATGTGACAGATTTGTACACGTCCTATTGTTTAAAATGATCAGTATTAAATATTTTCCACCACTTTCCTTTGGGCACCTGTTAACTGTAGCAAGTAATCTGTAATTAGTATCTGTCTACAGCTCCAGGTACTCAAGCCCTTTATTTCTTCCATTCAAGTCATATTCCAAAGTGCTTCAGAATAAAATCTCCAGGTGTTCCCAACTGACACAGAACTGCTCAAACTGTTTTGATGACTGGGCAGGTACACTCAGTAGTATTAACCTACTGTCTTACTCCTCAGTCACCTGAACACCTGATGGGAAACCACCCACCTCTCTCCCAGGCCCTATTCTCATCCTTCCTTCCTCTAGATACACAGGAGAAAGTGGGGGGAAAAGGGGCTAGTATGCACCTATGTCAAACTTACAGGCTGACAGAAGCTAGAACAAGCTAGGAACCAAGAAACTAAGTTTTTCAGGGTCAAGAAATGCCAGTGGCACTTAGACTTCCTGCAAAGGGACATTTGTAAAACTATATTTCCTAGAAGCATGGATTAACACCCCTCTCTCTCCATCCCACCCTGGATCAGTACTGCTGTGCTGGCAAAATCCCCAGTATAAACACTGTTGGGCCGATGTCTTTGGTGCTGTGTGATGAGGTTGTTTACCTTTGCCAGTGAAGAGGAGGCTATGAAGCACAGCCATGTCCTATCTAAGCAAGCTCTGAGGTTTGGAAATGTAGCCATAGGTCATTTTTGAAGAGTTGGAGAATTTATCTTTAGGGTTTTTTTTTTTCTGATTTTGTTTGTTTTATTTGTCTATTTGTTTTTTTTAAACAAATAATATCTGTTGTCCAGCTCTGTTCAATGCAGTGAGAATTACAGTTAACATCCTTCCTGGAGAAAAAGATCTAAAACATAGTCAGCAGTAGGGACTGAACTATGGACCAAAACACCCCTTAAAGCCACATATCAAGTAGTCACACAGCTGCATGTATAACCCTGTGGTGAGAACTGGGTGGTTTGAGAGGCTTAATGGCTATGCTGAATAAGTGGTGAGGAAAAAAAGTATTTACTTACCAAACCAAGCCTGTTGTTCTCCCTGGACTTCTATAGCCAATCCAAAGTCTGCCAGTTTTACTGCTGCTCCCTTGGATTTGCTAGCTAGAAGTAAGTTCTCAGGCTTTATTCAGAGAAAGAAAAAAATTGAGATGAAAAGATAAATAAATACATTTTAGACAGGTTTTCACTTAGTTTTAGTTATGGTAGTCTGGAAAAGAACAAATACTTAGAGGAGTGAAAAAGGGAATAAAACACATGAGTTTCCTCCATGAAATTGTAAAATTTGCAAGTTCCCATTCCTACTTGGAAAGAACCACGAGGCCTGTGCACAGCCTCCATGAGCCCATGGCAGCAAGGCTAAGGACAGTGTGGAGAGAAGGTTGGCCAGGATGGGCATATAAAACTGTGACACCCACGTGTGCAACAGGACAAACCAGAGATTCCCAAGCACTTACTGGAAACCTGTGGCAGAGGCTCCCCAAAAGACAGGGATTCTTTGGTGATTAGCCTACTCTATGTAGTTTGCAGGATTAGGCAGCTCTAACTGTCAAACGTCAATATTTTCATGACATTTTAACAATAAGAGCCTATCATTCTGTTTGTATTTCGAGGGCAGGTGTGTTTGCATTGCAAATCTTGCAGCAAAACCAGCATGCCCACCTGTGCCTGCAGAGAGACTATCAGAAATAACAATGACAGTTAGGGAAAGTTCCTATTTTGCTTTTCTCTTAGGGTGCGTTGGTCTCATCTGAGATCAAATGCTCCATTCGCACAATTAAGGGAGAAGGATATGAACATAATCATGTTCATACTGCTGCTCCTAACGTATCCTTTTATCTGCAGTTAGCAAATCCATTAAGTGCAAATTGCCCAAAGACAGTTTGATAGCATGAATGTTTACTTTCAAAACCTAAATAACTTATAAAACACTGTAGAATCCAGTGTATCATTTCAGAGATATGTGACTCTGAGAGTATTTTCTTCCCATTTCCTTCTTTCCTATCTCAATGATCTTTTAAATCAGGTTTTGTTCTACATTTACAGAATAACAAAACCTCACTTTCAAGGGTATTGCTGTGAGCCTTCAGCAGCAATTTTTGTAGTGGTCTATGATAAAGGACTTCCCTCTATCCAGCCTGGCACTGGAGACCCAATCCTGCAAACTCTTAAGTGTGTATTCCAGGTTAAACCCAGCAGCAATCATATCATTTCCACAGGACTATTTGAGTGATTACAGTTAATCCCATGCAGGTACTGAGTTTGGAAACAGTTAAGATCATAAGCTGCTTTCAGCCAAAGCTATCTTTAATACATGTCAGGTATCCAGCAAAATATGCTTGAGCCTAATTAAGACCTCAGCCACTGTGATACCTCTATTAATTAACAACATGGCTGGCCCTGACAAACTCTTTGGTCTAAAGGTGCTTTTTTTCCCCCTCTCATCAAACTGTAAAGGAGCATCTTATTGGCAAACACTGTTCTCTCACTCATCCCTTTGTTGGCATGTCATGGAATAGACAGTGTTAAAAACCTTTCATCAACAGTTACTTGATGAATCTTCTATTTCCACATGATTTAAAATTGAGATTAAGGTTTTTCAAAACAAAATATAATCTTTATAGTCACTTTAATTATCAGTAACCACCTCAACTGTACAATATCAAACACTGAGTTGTCTGAGTTCTCCACATAGCTGAGGACTATTCTCTAGGTTCATGATTTTAACAATGTCACCCTCCTTGTCATTTAACACACCAATTTCAACCTACAGTCACATAGTTCTGGCAGGTTTCCTATAAGAGTGAGAGAAGTTCACACTAAATCATTCCTGGAATGCTGTTCTTATATAAACCTCTTAAAGCAGTGGATGATCCTGTTTGGTCATGACCTTCAGGCAAGCCAAAAGCAGTGAAAAGCCTCACCCTCTTGGATGACATGCAAGCACTACCCCACCGAGCACACATGGGATTCCATTCAACACAGCAGCTCTGTGTTTCTGCTGCTCTTGGGGTACTTTTTGTTGGTTCTTTTTCCCTCTTGGGATTTTGGTTTTAAGTTCCATTAGGTGTCTTTGGTCTGCAGAAATACCCCTGTCCCAGGTGAGTGTGTTCCACCAGAAGCTGAAGCAGGATTCCTGGTTTACTCCCATGCCAAAGACAACAGCCTCTTGGGCAATGCTGTGTGGGTCTGTGCACTTAACCGACATGCAGCTGTCGTTTGAGGCTGAGGAGAGGCATGCTGGCTAATTAGCATGCATTAACTTGGAATGGCTGCAATTACTTGGAAAACATTAACATCCCAGTGTGGGCCAGGCAGGGCTCTGGATTCCATAGTGTCACCTTGTGTTCCCAGGCAATGGGCTGCAGTCAAGCATGCACAATGGCACTCTTAACTACTAAAATTACTTACAAATGAATTAATGTGAGTTATGGCATATTTTTCCAAAGGTCTTTAATCTTTAAGACATCAAGTACTTATGTGTTTGTCCTTGAATATAACCAGACCATCCACTTTTCGAGGGTCATAATCACCTGAGCAGAACTGGAATTCCTACCTGGAAGTGCCCTTTTACCAGCTGTTAAAGACAGGTTGCCACTAACAGGCTGATATTTTTCCGGATCTAGGATCCACCACCATTCTGACTCATGGCAATGATTGAAAACAGAGCATCACAAGCACTTCTGCAGATCACAAGAGGCTGTGAAAGCTCTGCTCCATTTGCTACTAAATTACGCTAGGAGGAAAGTAAATAAAGCAAGATCATCCAAACTCTCCTCTCATTGCCCTCTCCACCCCCAAACACTCCATCAAATTGTGGACTGAGTTATAGGAAAAAAATCCCTCAAGTTTTGCAGTTTAAGCATCCATGCCAGCCCATAACCACTTTCTACATGTCTTGCTGTTCTGGGCTTGAGCCTTGGCATCTTCTTTTTGGCACACAGAGTTCTGCTGGGATTTCACCACAGTCTTTCATCTCATTCTCTGGTTTCTTTTGCTTTTGCCACAAAGTAGTGACTGAAGAAGGAAGGTTTTCTGCCTCCTCAAGTTTTCACTTTCAGAAATGAAACTGGGCACTGCAGCTTGGCAGGAACAGTTTTTCTCACACTGTTTTTTCAATCCATCCTGGATCTGCCAGGATAAGAAATCCACACATGGTCTGAAGCAAGGAACATCTGGATCCAAGGCATTTCCACAGGAAAAAAAAGATGTTTTCTGTGAATGTATCAAAAGTGCTATAAAGAATCCCTTGTTCTGACAGCTTGCATGGCTACAATCCTGGTTTTCACATTCCTTTTGATGTATGGAGATGTATGGTGAGCAGGAATTGCAGCTGGACAAATCTGACATCCTTCCATTTAAACTCCTTCCATGTTATTCAGCTGCCATGCAAGATTTATGGATTGGATAGAGACTTGTCAGTCTCCTGTTATACAATTGTGACACAGGGAAATCCAGGAGTGCAAAAGGGGTAGAGGATTTTGGGTTTGCATCTGTGAAATCCATCCTGCCCTCTCAGCTTTGGGAGCATAACCCTTTATGTTCCCGGAGGACAACAACAGAGACTTTATAAACTCAGATAACAGTTGTTTATTTGGGATTGAAGGATGGCAAGAAAGACAATGGCATTCTGATTCCAACATTATTACTAATGATAACCACTAGAAAGCTCCTATCCTAGGAGGAAATCCCTGCTCCCCATAACTCATTCAGAAAGGAAAACAAGACACCAAGAAGCTGTGCCAGAAGGGATTAGTGTGTTTCTCTGTCTTAGCCCACATGCCATTTCTTCTCTGCCCTAATAAAGGATCTGGTAGTTCAGAGAGCGCCTTTCCATTTGATTTCAAAGTAAACAATCTTCTTTTCCTTGAGGACCATGAAGCCCAAGTGCCCAAATTAAGCCCTATCCCCATCCACAGCGCTAGTTTACTGCCAGCTCTGGGACAGCCTTGTGTCTCTGAGCTTCACAGTGAAACAGAATGATCTTGATTTGTTTCTTGCCATGCCAACATGCTCTAAATGCGGAGAGCATT